GTCTTCCCAAAGAGTTTCATGTCCAGGACCTTAGAAAGTGAGCCATTCCATCCCCCGGAAGCCATTTAAAACTAAAACGCTGTTTGTTCTTCTCCGACAAAGTGAACCAACCATGCCAAGGCCCACCACTACCCAAGAAACACAGGCGACAACCTGTAGAAGAGCACCAGCAACAAATGTAATCAGACAAAACCGATACCGAAACCCTGACAATGTCGTTCGTTCCTCATCGTTTTGCGTCTCGGATTTACATGCTCTGTGCCAGTCCACTGTTGTACTCGAAAGGGCAGGATCCCTCATGTAAGTGGTGAGTAACCCCAGTCATACCCGACTTACAGGACTCATAAGCCGGGCTGGGAATACGAACCCAACTACTTACTAAGTAGACCCTTGTAACTACCAGTCTGAACATCATTGAACCTCTGTTGTCTAGACGCCGACTCAATCAATGTGTTTGATCGTGTGTCCATGACTTCAAACCAGCGACCCCAAAACATACAAGTCCTGAGTGCATTGAAAGCCGACAAGCGTCACCAGACTTGTCGCCCCAACAAACATACATGCAGCAAACATGTGTGTAGCGCCACCAAGCCATTTGACTGCCAACCTCCCCCCCCAACAGAAAAGTAATCAAGCTGTTCGTTTGTCACTAACATGATCTTCTCCCAACGCATTCGGACTCCAGCAATTGGCTGCTACCTGCTCTTCCAAAGGACCCAAAGATACAGCTAAAGGCTGCGCTACTCAAAGGGGTGATCGGGTACATCGTGTAAACAAAATGGGACACCACGATTCTCTCCCAACATACCCGATGGCCCCTTGAGGAACCTTACCGACGTAAGCAGGTTGCACTGAATCGAATAATATGAAACCCCAGACACTCAGTGGGTCACTAGCCATTAAGCACCCTCACCATTTATAGGAACCACGGCTCCGGAGCCAGGCGGCTTGTTGGGGTTCCATGTTTCTCGGGATTGCTAAAGTACTGGTTATAACCAATGAGGTTGCAAGTTCAACAATTCGGCTACCAAGTATGCAGCCTGTCCCTCGTTTGCTTATTTCATGCTTATTCTCCAATTTAGGTTGAGGGTGGCTCTAGATGAAAGACCCGGGGCAAACCGCCGGTTTTCGTCGTCCTATACCAAGGGATCCCGTTTTTGGGATTCCAATTTCTTTGGAGCGGAACCCGAAGCAGCCCTTTGAGCTTCCGGGCGCTCATTGAGAAGGGCGGAGGCCCGGTGCCTCGTGGCGAGCGGGGCGAGCGGGTCAAAATGGGGGGGGGGGGGGGGGGGGTTTGCACCTCTCAGTGGATCAACCAGCTGCAAACCAAAATACGCAAAATACAGTGGACGGACAAAACTGCGCAGTTGGGATGGATGAGGCCCTAATACTGAGACAAACCAGCTTCCAACTAGTGCAGGAGATCGTCCATCCACAATAGGTAATCCTTTGTGGCTCTCCGTTTGGTTCTTAAAGGCTGGGAAAGCCCTTGAAGTTACCTCCTTTTTGAGGGGAAACAAAATGACTGGGTATGGCATTGCGCAGAGAAGGAAGAGGAGCCAAAACGAGGCAAACTGAAAGCGTTGATTGAATTGACATGTGGACGTGTCTTAAAATAGGGGAACTCCCTAGACATGGTGTTTCTCTTGGGTTTCCTTCCAAGCAACCCCAAAAAGGGTACCGTCAAAAACAGCCAGACCCATGTACAAGGACATGATGGGAGTGACACTATAGTTGACCAGTGATTTTCCTTTTGCTTGCCTTGGCTACCTGTGCGCAGAACCCCCTAAAACACGCTACCGTTTCCTTTGGCTACTCTCAAAGAAGACACCCATATGGCAACTTCTCAAAATGGAGGATCCCCTTGGGTATTTACAGGGAAACCCCAAAGGAAACCATTGCCCTTGCCGCGATCATCCCCCGCCCCGCGCCCGCCTTCCAGGACGTTGCACGAGCTCAGCTTCTCGCAGCCTCGGAGCCGGTGAACCGAAGAGCTGGAGGACTTTGCGGAGGTTCGAAGGAAGGTTTGGAGTCAAACCACGACCACAGATGAACAAAAGTTAGGGACCTCCTGGAAACACGCCCTAACTCCAAAATCAAACATTTTGCGCATCTCTGGGGCCTTGCAATGGTTTGGCTTCAAAACAGTAGATACGGAAGTGAGGAAACCAATGTGTCTCGGGGTGAAGACCATCATATTGCGGGGATCCCGTGAAAAATATGTGTTTTCAACAAATACCTTGCAAAAGGGGAAGTACTGTAGGTAGGGAGTATACGGAATTTGATCAATGGCGTTCCCAAAGTGGGAACAAATCAATTGGGCATGTCGTCAACCAAAATGGGGCCAAAGAGTAAGAGAACGCAAGCCGCTGAACTGGTTTTTTGGCCAGACTTCGATCAATCACTTCAGGCAACGTTCAACATTAAACTCATGTTGCCCACTTGCCCAGTGCGTACAAGGTCAACCTTTTGAGACCGTTACTACAAGGAAAAATCAAAAAGGAAAAAAGGTCGGCTGTGCACAGAGGTTGTCAACCCGTTCTACCATCATGATAGAAAGGAACATGCATGAAAGAAACACAGACAAAAAAGATGATGCCGAAGGTTGACCCAGTGTTGGTCTATGCTGGGCCACATGATGGAAAGCCAGAGAGGTCTGCAAATCTGGTCAAGCAGTCACAGCACTCCAGCCGCTCAACATGTGACTGTGATCATCCAACGTTCATACGTATGAGATGTTACAATTCGCAAACTTGCAAGGACTGCGCGCGGCAAGGACCTTCATTTACTCTGTTGAGTTTGAGATCTTGTTAGGCCCCCCTTCGCTCGGGAACTTCAATCTGCAAAGCCTGGAGGTGAAAGTGGTGGTGACTTATGGCAAAAACTGGATCTGGGAGTTCCCATATTGTATGTAGTGTTTACCAAAGTTCCGGTCTTCTCTTGCACCAAATGGCTCATGTAACCTTATCATTTAATTCAATTGCCTACAGAAATGATGATAACATGTTGTACAAGCCTTGCTATGAGCCCTGGTCAGCCAAGGATAGGCTTACTGAGCAATTGGCAAAAAGGTGTTGGGTGCTGCTTAGGAGATGGCAATGTATTACGGGATATCATCAGCACTAGAACCAGTCGACAAACAACTAAAGGACAATCATTGTGGGTAAGCTCGTTTTCTCATAGGGAGATCACAAAGGATATCATGGCCCGGTGATTCCATTTACCTGTAGGTGATGGGGGTTTCCCATCCTTTAATGAAACAATGCTTTGGCTGGGTACCTGGCAACTGGCTCCCTGACAACTGCTTACTTGGTAACTGGGTAAACAACTACCTGGCAACTCGTTGAGGTTACCTGGCCACTGAGATGCCCTAAATATTGCAAGTAGGAACAAGGGAAACCCTGTAAATTCCCCGGGCTTGTGGTGTTACTTGCAATTTCGGGCATCCAGCGTAACTTCTCTGGCAACCTTGCTAGTTCTCGGTGAATCGATTTCGGGGCTTTGGGAATGCAGCTTGGGGACTCAAGCAAACTTGCGGTATGCTTCACTTGTTTCTGTTTGAGGCATTCCAACTCATTCCCTTAGAACAAGAGCAAGGAGCTGGTCTCACTCCCCGAGTGGATTGGCCTCTCGAAAAATCCGAACTTTCTGGCCCTTATTTTTTCGTACTCAGAATGATTCTTCGTTTGATATAGTATTATCACTAGTATGAGATATATCATAGTATATCATATATTATGTAACAAATGTTCATTAAAATAGTCCAAACCCGAAAAAGCGACTAAAGCGCAGGACACCGGGGAGTGAGTTACGGTGATCGGTGATCTGTCCGGCTCACAGCTGGCTTTGAACCGGCTGTTGGTGGTTATCTTGTGGCCGGTTTCCACATTGATCCACTTTCGATGCTAAATGGGGGCGGGGTCTGGACAAATTGCGGAAACCAGCCATCCCTTTTTTGTTTCCCATCCGGTGCTTTTTTTGGCACACGCGAAACAAACGCCGCCGCACTACTCGCTCCCGGCGCCGGCAACCCCCCATTTAATGGAATGCGGAGCGGCGCTCGATGATGACCTTCACGGCGAAGTCCAAGAACCCAGAGCCTCGCCCGACGCGCGGTTTTGTGCTTCGGCTGGGACGAGGTATGCGAGGGAAATACCTTCTGCCCATGAAAGCATCCTTGGCAATCAATGTGGGGAGCATATAGAGCGCATGGGAGGGAGTATGATGGAGTATGGCCTACTCAAAGTTGCTGGCTTCCGTTGGCCATTTTGGTTTGCTGCGTGTTTCAGCCAATTTGCCACTGGGCCAACTAAAGATTGATGTGTGGCGTGGCGACGGCTAGCTCCAGCTTGCTCTTGGAGGGTTGGTGGACAGGTGATGAGAGCTCGGTGCGGTTGTCTCAAGGTGAGTTTGGCCTTGCGGTTGGTTTAAGGTGGGAGGGGTGGAACTGGGAGCAGCCGACATCCATAGGCGGCCTCGGCTGCTTCCTCTACTCTCCCATGGACCAGGGTGAACTAGGGCATCCATCGTCCCCCAAAAGGCCAAAAGGGGCATAAACTGCCATTAGACCTACTCCAAGACGAAGGAACACCTTGCGCCAAAGGGGTCCCGGTCAACTTCTCACAAGGAGATCTGATCCTTCCCATCTCCGAACGCTCCACTCGCGAGGTCGAAAACGAACTCGAACTTCAGGTCGCCTTTCTCGCCGCTGAAGATGTGATTCCCGATGTTCGCGCCACAAACCTGAAAAGAAGGAACGGCTCCGAAGGTCGAGGGCAAACGTGCAACCCATGAGGATCCCTTTTTGGGGAAAAGCCAGGAGAAGGATGTCTGGTCTTGCGACTGGTCAAAAGTTGATGGAAGCCCTTGCGGTTGAGGGTGGAACCCACTAACCTACATAGGTGTCTTTTTCGAATGTTCCGCCGCTTTTGTAAAAAAAAAAAAAAACAAAGGAAACCATAACTTTAGGAGTCCCCCCCCCCCAAAAAAAAAAAATGCCACAGCCACATGAAGCCAACCTTTCTTAACAGCTTGTCCGATATTGGGGTTGGAAATCATATGTAGCGCCTTCTCGGGAGCGGGGACGACGTCGTTTAAAGGGGACATCCCAAAGGGCCCCTGCTTTTCACAACCACCAAAAAACAATCTAGAAGTCTAGGGCCCCATGTAAAAATTGGGGTTGCAACCCCCGTTTTGACAACCTCTGTTTCTGTGTTTTAGAATTGTAGCCCCGTTTAACTGTGGTTTCTCTATAATTCCAAACAGGACAATTCCTTCTAGCTTGCCTTTTGAACACCATCCAACTAGGGTCCCGAAATTTGGAAACACTTCACCGCACATGTGGTACGTTGTACATGGTTCAACCCACGCAAACCAAGAAAGTGGCTTGCCAAGCTCCGGACAACTTTCTCAGATCATCTGAGCATGCAACTCAAAAGCCAGGTGCCCTGAAAGCTTACTGTGGATGGACGAAATCCGTTCGCACCACTTAGAAACCATGGCTGAAACCATAACGTTCGTGCGTAATAATTGACATGGGAATCGGATCACCCCCGAGTTGCTTAGGTGGTGCAGGATTTCGTCCATCCACAGTATCACCTTTTTGAAACGCAACATGGTCCGAACTTGGGACGATTCCTTTACTGAACAACCCTCAAGAATCCAAGTGGCAAATCCTCTTTGCGGATCCTTACGGAAAACAGATCCAGGTGGAAGCAGCAGCTACCCATCACACCCACGGTCTGCAAAAAGGAACGCATAGACGTCACACTTGGAAATACCAGGCAGAGTTGTTCGAACCTTCGCTCAAAATGCACCAACATGGAAAAACAACACAAGTCAAGGGGTCGATTCGCGTTAGCGAGTGATCGTTGGCATTCTGCTTTCCCTTACCGTGCCGTTGCCACGTATCCACAAACAGCAGTCACAGCAGGGTGCTCTTTCCTGGAAGCCTGTAGGTGGTATTGTATTAAATAGTTAACCTCGGATTGTTCTGGATATGGAAAAAGGGGAGGCTCCCCTTTTTGTGATGAGGAAATGACCAGCACACGGGTCCCAACCTTTGCTTTTGGGGACAGCACTTGGGAATTTTGGACATGGGAGAAAGCGGAGCCCAAAAGTGCACCCTGAAGACCTTCAAACGAGATACCCGTCCCAAAACTTAAAAGACAACCCAAAAGAAAGCCACAAATTTTGAGGAATCGCAATTTTGAAACAAACCCAAGATGCGATTCAGTTCCTTCAGTCCCTTCGGTCAGCTCGTCCCTTCTGTCCCTGCCTTGTGGCTCACAAAGGGCCACCGCCAGATCTCTGCCCCGACTTCATCGAAGCCGCCTCAGTCGGCGCATCGCTCCCCCCCCCTCGCTCGGAACGCCTGAAGATACATGAAGGAGATGCCTTCACGGATTCGACAAGACCAATCTGCCGGAAACTGCAAGGGGCAACAGTAACGCATGCTAATTTTATCCATGTTGGCTCCAGTCACCAAACAAACACAATAGGCATGTAAATGTGTTGAACGTCTGGCATTGAACAAGTTAAGCAAACAAAGCAATAGCAAACCCATGCAACATGCAGCAAGTTCGAACGTTTCAGCGTCAACTCCGTATCAATGCGGAGGACCGCACACATCAAAGTTGGTTTCTCTTCTAGTACCCACTCGGATAGGAGACCCTGGGTGGAGCTTGGCGTCTTTTTCCCAGCACTGCAACGACAGCGACCCATCGGACCCATACTGTCATCGGAACACTCCTGAGCCATGACAAAGCTGCGTGCACGTTTCAGCGGAATAGGTGTTTACTGTCTCTGCAACGATTCCCTTAAGCTTCTACGGACACATCTTGGAATGTGCGTGTTCACTTCTTGGGCTCATTGTCACAAAGGTGCGAATGAGTTAAAACGGATGCGCTCGGCTTCACAAATGTTGCAAAACTGATAGTTCTTGCTGTCCATGAGCAAACACCGGCAGCGGTCTAACTACAAGGTACCCGTTTAGCAAGAACGCAATCTATGACTATACAGTTCCTCTGACTAGCATCCCAAAATTTCTGCACGTCTCATGTTTGATTAGCTACACCACCTTGGAGCTCAGGCCCCGACAGAGCCTAAGGCGATGCCTTGTTTAGGATACATTGTATCTACGTCTCCATACGCCCCGGCAAAAGAAGAAAAACAACTTACAGTCGCAAATGGAAGTACCCATCTCAAAAGCGCCTAGGTGACTATCCTTTTCGTGAGGTATGCACCTGTAAGATGTTTCAACTCTTCAAGTGCGTATATGTAAAAGAATAGGGGGGCCTTCAAAAAATGGTCATGTTGCTCTTGATTTCCCTTTCATAATACCCCTCAATAAACACAAGCCCAAACGGGTCGCGACTCTCGCCCATCCCACGTCCGACGTCTGCCGGGCTGCGGGTTGAGACGTGGTCCATATCGATATAGATGCCGCCGTACTTCAGCGGCGCCTCGAGCGAGGCGCGAGCGCGGCGCGAGCCAAAAAGTGCACCCGCGCTTGCTTTATGCGCGAGAAGCGTTGGTGCTAGTAGGGCAAGGTACCTGGAGCCTTTTGACCCCAATCAAAATTCGGGTCATGAGCCCCGTGTTTTGGGTTGACCCAATTTAAGGGTCGTGGAGACGCTAGGCACTTAAGCAGTTTGTCATATGATCTTGATTCTAGCCCGCTGAAAACATGGCTCTAATGGTAACCGCAATGATCTGCTTGTCATTATGGTACTAACAACCATTACAACCCACCAAAGCCAAGGTTGTAAGTGCAATACGTGGGTGCTAGCCTGACAGGGGACTTGCCACGCGGTGTCGCATGTCGTTGGGTGGCGTCATACGCTTGCGTCTACAAGCGACCTCAACTAGTCATCCATTTGCTTGTTCCTCCCCTGGGGAAAGCAAATTTCCAGTAAGTGACAGATTCCCTTCAAGACCAACAGGGGAAAATAACACATCCTGAAACGCAAATGGACGTAGTTTGCCTTGCTTCAGATCTTGAGTTCCATAACATGTAGACCAAATGACTTCTGAGTGCCCTACATAAGCCTCAATCAAGACATGTGAGTTTTCCGGATCCCCAGTGGATAAACCACACAGAGACTTGTGACCTTTGAGGCAGGGTCGCTTTTCGCCAGATCAAAGGGATGCTTTCCTCGTATACTTTCATTTCCGTGTTCGGCTGGAGAAAAGAAAAACTATTTCCAGCAGCGATAGATTCCAACTCTAAAACTAACATGGGAACAAACAAAAAAACACGCACACACCGATTCTCAAGCAAATGGAAGCGTCTACATTCCTTGGATCTTCAAGCTACTTGGTGAGGATAGAACCATGAGTGATAACTAGGGCAACTGGGGTTCGTCATACCATGGTGTCCATGGTCGAACTCCCAGAACCCTGGATTTCCATGTGCAGAAAGGGAAATCATTCTTTTCTTGCTCAATTCTTAGGAGGGCCCAGCCCAGGGAAGCGGTTCCGGCAGGGACCAAGGGTTTGCAACTCCCGGGCCCCCGCAACAGGAAACTGGCTTTTTCAAGAAAGATGAGATGGCCATGGTTCAAAATCCCAATCTCCACGAAAATAGACTAAGTGCTCCTTTGAACTCTCCAACTTTCCTACACAATGACAAGGGGTTACACCCCAAAAGCAAGACAACGCCCCTATATCCTCCTTCATTCCGGCAAGAAGGTCACGCATTTCGCAGATACGTGACACTCTCCTCCAACATGCACCCTTTGGAGACACAGAACTAAAAGGCCCACCGTAAGATGCTGACTCTTGAAAAACCAGCCCCCAGTCGGGAAGGAACCGAACCCAAACCGACGAAAGGCTTGTCATCCAACACCTCCGTTTGTGTAGAAAAAACAAGGGCACACCGAAAACAGGAGCCGCGCCCTAAGGGGAGTAGGTGTTTTGAGTGGTAGGACACTTCAGGCAAGCGGTTACTAACAGTTCATCCTAGTAGTACACAACACTATAGAGTCTACAAGCTTTAACCTTTTGCAGTACCAGTGTCCTCCCTTTGTGACGTATTCATTGTTAAGAGGCACAGCTCGTATGTTCTTCCATTTCGCGATTGACAGCGTCACTTGGCATCTTCAGGTAGCTTGCTTAGAGAGTTCTGAGGCTCTTTAAGGTCAATTTACACTTTGCAAGCAGGGGCTATGTTGCCCTAATCCCCGAAAATTGCTCCACACGAGTTTCAGCTTGCACCAAAGGAATCATTTGTGTAGCATTCTCGAATCCACGTCTTGCAACCCATTTAACAGGCACAACGAGGGGAGTGGCCAATCCTCAAACGTGGCTTGGAGGCTCATGAGAACCCGTCTTCACAGGTCCCATGATCGTGCCCGAAAAAGGCCCTTGACAATTTCCGGGCATGTGCCAAAAAAGGGACGCTAACAAATCGTGGCTTTCCTTTGGTTCCCGTCAAAACCCAAACCAATGGGTACTGAACCTCAAAGAAAGACATGGGAGCTTCTCAACATGGTGGAACCCTTCGATACTTAAGTGGGAACAAAAAGGACACCATTGTAGGGGATCGATTCCTGTGGATGGACAAACTCCTGCCCCACTCGGGATGCATAAAACGCTATAACTACCGGGAAAAAAACTTCTATAAATCACCTACCAACTGGTGCGATGCGGATTTTGTCCATCCACACCTAGAGTCTCCATGACCTTACAAAATGGGGTGATAACCCAAAATTCAGGGGTCATGACCCCTTTTTCTAGGGGTCAAAAGGAGACTCCAGGCATGCATCTGAAGAAAACAGCCTGCGATGCAGAGTTTGTCCATCCACATCCATCTTAAGAAAACAACCCTGTTTCTTTTTGATTGGCGAGGACGTAGATTTTGTCCATCCACATCTATCTTAAGCAAACAGCAGCTGTTTCTTTGTTTGGTTGGTGCGGGCGTGAGGAGGTTTCGTCCTTTCCCGCCGCTCCAGGTCCCGTGCCTCGATGCGGAAGAAGTGGGACTTCAGCGTGCAAACGCCTCTGGCCAGACGCGCCAGACCGGGTGCGCCGTGCGAGACGTGAGACGTGAGACGTGAGACGTGGGTTCAAAGGATCGAATCCTTTGGTGGACATCAAACAACGGCAAAGTGTGTTTGTGTGTGATGGCCACCAATTTCAAGGGGTCTGTCCCTGGAATAAATATTGCAAATAGATCGGATATATTCAGCCACACCATCATGGCAAATCACGGCAAGCTGGAGGCGTTGCTTGTTGCGTACAATACGTAGGACCACCGTACTGTGACCTATTGCTACTTGTTGTCTGCGAGATATGCAACAATCCAAGAGTCTAAGAGTCGTAGGGTATGGCTGGGACGTGCCATGATAGCAGGCCTGCAAAAAAGGGCTTTGCAAGTCATTGCGGCTTGGTTTAGCCTCAACATCATTCAAGCAGTCTCAAACCATGTATGGGAAACCACCCACAACACACGAAGCATGCCAAGATCTGTGTTGGGTGTTGGTTGGATGTAACTGGTCTCTTGGGATTGTCATGATGGCTCCATTAAAACGCGCTCTCCTATGGTTCACACTCCTCCCAGGTACAATCCGTTAGGCTTGCACCTGCGCTACCGGTTCCGCCCCTCAGCTCAAGCCGTCCTCGATGTAGGTCATCACTCCGGGATCCTGGCGTACCCCCTCCCTCTGACTCCGGCGCATCGTCGGCACCGGTCGAAGGCATCCCACCTCCGTGTTGCCGCCAAAGTGGGGCAGTTCAGGGAGTAATGGTACCTGACCCCGTAGTCTGTGGTGAGCACCGGCTTCCAGTCCCTCACGATGACAGGGACCGAATGCTCCTCTTCTACGTCTTGCATCCGGAGCTCCTGTGCGAAGCACCATGTGCAGACATACCTTGCCTCTGCTCGACTTCCGGCGCACTCTCTGGTGTGGTGTGCGATCCTGTCCTTCTTGTTGAAGAACAGCTCTTCGTCCGGAATATCCCACCTTTCGTTGCGCACCTCTTCCTCGATCTGGACCAGTTGCCGCTCTTGATCATCTGCTGGCGGTTGGTCCTCCCTCCTCCAAGGCGGAGTGGGGTGTCTCCTCGCATAATCTCTCCTCCATGGTGCATTGACGATCGGCTTCCCTTTTCCTTTTCCAGAGCCGATTCCACCCTTTCCTTTCCCCAACGGCCTCCTCATGGCCTCTGGTGCTGCTTTTGATCTAGCACCCGATGCTTCCGACCCTCCGCCACCTCCGGTAGTAGTGGATCTTCTCCTTGTAGTTGATGCCGATGCTCTCGACGACGATGAAGCCTCTTCTTCCGACTCCTCTTCCTCGTCACCCGCCGGCATCTTGTTGTGTCCACGCATCGCCCTTATAGATGCATATTCCCCTCTGCTTCTCTTCTCACATGCCTCTTTCACCATCGCCGCCACCTTGATTGCCAGAGCCGTGAAGAGGGCCACCAGGATGCCGAAGCCGACCAGGGCGTTGTAGTCCCCCTGATCTTCTTCCTCGACTTTCTCCTCTTTCGCCGCCACTGCCTGGACTTGCATGCAGCATGCCAAAATGGCCAACGCTGCCTTTCCTTTTCCAGGTCCACCTCCAGGGCTCCTCCTTCTTCTGGCTTTGGTATCTTGCGCAGATCACGTAGGCGAGTTCCCGGCAGACACTTCGTGCCCATGTCGGCGACCAGATTGGCGCCCATCCGATGCACTATCCGCCAGTCCCCCATCTGCACTCTCCATCTCACATAGAACGCTCTCAGACGAAGATGACGCGTCCGCCAGGATCCAGCATCTCCTGTGCACAGCGAGACCGCCGCTTGGTTGTCCCCAATCAACGTCCGCGAATAGTCCATCTCCGTCTTGATCTCCTGGATCAACGCGTCTACCGAGTCCCCAAGAACCATTCCCTCTATCATCTCCATCAGCTCGGACTCGGCTGTCGACAGCGTAGGGAAGCTCTGCCTCGAAGATCTCCACGCCAGCATTGATCCCTGCCATTTGACCATTACACAGCCATGGCTAATCTCGCCGCCAGGCGCGAAGCTCGCATCCGTAATCACTTCCAAGCCCGCTCCTCTACTCTTTCTTCCATCTGTGTCCTCCCCCATGTCCTTGTCCAGCAGGATGCCCTCCGTCTTGGTCGCGTTGAGGTACCGCAGTGTTTGGGTCGCGGTTCTCTGCACCCATCGTGGAGCCTTGGACACGAAGCTCGACATTCTCGAAACCACGTAGGCCAGGTCAGGTCTACTCCGGGTGACCAGCCAAATCAACTCGCCCACCAGGCGCTGACCCGTCTGAATCTCCTCCGCCGTGATCCCGATCTCTGCCTCTGGCTCGCTGCACTCCTTGCTCATGGGGATCACCGACTTGCCAGTGACATTGTTCCGATCGATGATCTCCTTGATGTAGTCCATCTGGTCCAACCCAAAGGCTGCTCGATTGAAAAAAATCAATAGATCGATTGAAAAAAAGACAAATTCGATATTCGATTGAATTTCAGAAAAAATCAATAGAGGTCAGAAAAAAGTTCAGAGCAGATATAGAGATTCTATTGATTTCCCTATTGAATTTTCGATTGAAAAACAAAATCCTCGATTGGAAAAATGAAATCCGCGATTGAAAAAATGAAATCCTCGATTGAAAAAAATAAAATCCTCGATTGAATTTCTTAAAACGGACCAGAATTCATCCTCGATTGAATTTTGAAAGCAGGCCAAAATCTTCGATTGAATTTATTGTAAACGCTGCGCGTCGCCCGCCTCAGCCCAGCCGAGCGCGCAGCGTCTGTGGTTCGACTGCAAGCAGCAGAGCTGGTCAAGTGGCGATTCAGGAATGGACAGGTTCTGGTGTCGTTGGACCAATTGATGTCATGAGCCGGACTAGGCTGCTGGCTGGGGTGCCTGCGCCTGGGGTCTGGGCGGGCTGGGCTGGGCCTTGCTTGGGTGGGTTGCTGGTTGGGCTGGGCCTGAAGCTAGTCTCAGCCAAGTCAGCAGGTGGGTGGTTGGGCTGGGCCTGAGGCTAGTCTCAGACATGGTCAGACAGGCCTGGCCCCGCCGGACAGGATCTTGGGCCAGCACGGGGAAGAGGTTGGGGAAGGGGACAAGCGAAGATTCTCTTTGGAAAAAAATGATCTGAACATTCTTGGCCCCTGTAAGGGCCAAGGCGAATTCTGAAACCTTGACTCAATCTGTGATGGGGCTAGATGCTTCCATTGGTTGTGGGATCAGGTTTCTTGAACATCTTTGGAGCCCTTTACAAGTCATGCTGGGTGGGAAGACAGAAAGATAAAGAGGAGAGGAGGGTCAGAGAGTGTTCATAGATTTTGTCAGCTGCATAGAAGTGTATGGGCATTCAGCATGCACGCTGGGACTATTCAACCTCATGGCAGTTTTGGGTCCAGGACCACCACAGTTGCAACAAGAGTAGAAAGCCATGGGCAAGGGGGGGGCCAGGAGTCCCAGAGACCGACTTGGAACACTTGTTGGATGTGGTCAAAGACTTTGTGAAACAGGAGTCTAACTTCGACCTCAAGGGTTACCAGATCGTAGGAAGAACCCAGGCAGTTCAAGGGCATGACCTGGCCAGCCTTGCCCCTTTGCTGTTGAAGCTGATTTCTGTGCAGCCCCAGCTGCTGTTCAGCTACATGGACTTGAAAGCAGTTTTCAACAAAGTGGTGCAAGCCTACCCCTTCTTGAGGGACTCCTACCCTGCGCAGCAGCTGGGCAACCTCCCCAGCAAGCTGGCTCAGCAGACCATGACACTCTGCGCTCATGCTCGAAGGATCAAGGACTCAGCTAAGTTCAGGGAGTGCACCAGGTCACTGCCAGACTGGCAGATCCTGAAGCTTGAGGAGGTGAGAAAAGGTCTGGAGCTCTGCCAAAGTGACCCGAAGAACTTGGAGGCCTCTGAAAGCAGCCAGAACAAGAGCACGGGCAAGGAAGGGAAGAAGCTCCAGAGCACCCAGAAGAAGTCAGAGGCAATGAAGAAGCTGCCTTCCCAGCAGCTATCTACTCCCAAGAAGAACCTTGGCAAGAAGCACTCCAAGCTCACTGGAGGATGCTTTGGAGATGGAGCTGCCAGCAACCCAGGACAGCATGGAGTCAGACCACACTGGGGGGCACCAGCAAGCTGCTGAAGAAGGCCCTGGAAACCTCCTCGAAAGAAGACCATCAAGGAGCACCTGAAGAAGAAGGCAGCTGACAAGAAGGAGCAGACTGAGAAGAAGAAGGCAAAGAACAAGAAGAACCTGAAGAAGCAGAGTGGGACGAAGAAGGCCCAGAAGAAGAGCATCGACCAGAGCGACAAGAAGAAGGCGCAGAAGAAGAGCGTTGGCCAGAGTGGCAAGAAGAAGGCCCAGGAGAAGGAGGACCTGGAGTTCGACACCAACAAGCTGTTTCTCATGCCCTACAAGAAGACTGGAGCCTGGGCAATCAGGATCAGAAATGGCAAGCAGCTCTTCCAGGTTTCCTGCTTTGACCAGAAGAAGAACCAGATGGAAGCCCAGAAGCTCATGGACATGCTCAAGGGTGGCCAGCCCCTGGTGAAGGTCCTGCAGAAGAGGGACCGCCTGCGTCTGTAGGGTCTTGGCTTGTGTAGAAGCCTGGAGATCGCAAGCAAAGGTGAAACAGAGATCCAGCTGCTCTGGCCTGTTGGCTGCATGCTATAACGTCTGGAAAGACAACTGCAGCTTCCATGCCTGGACAGGCACCCTTGCCATTGCTTTGAATGCCTGGACAGACATGAAGCATGCTTGAAGTCATGTCTGGACAGACAGTAAGGATAGGGGGTGCATTTTTGAAACTGTGCATTTTAAATGTCTGGACAGACATTTCTGCTTTAGATGCCTGGGGAAGGAATATTCTATGCCTGGACAGGCATTTGGAGGCTTTGTGTGTTTTGTGTTCTGTCTGGACAGACATTTTTCAATGCCTGGACAGGCAAGGTTACCAGTGAGTCCCGCTTAATGTCTGGACAGACATGGGTTGTGGAAGAGATGGCAAGTGTGTAGAAGCGTCCGCAGCTTTCTGGTG